TTCCTTTCTGTCATTCCGGGGACCTTTTGCTTTTTTGCCACGCATGACTGTTTCCAAGTTCCCATTAACGGAGCGATTGTCTATAAAATATGTAAAATACACTCAGTTCTCACCTCCACAAATTAGTTATGTTGGTATTAGTGTTCAAACCCACTCTTGTTTATACTAAACACATACACTATTCTTTATGTTTTGCTTCATACCAAGTCTCTGGTTTTCATGGATGGTTCTTTAGAACAATACAATATACTGCGGAGTGAGTTAAGACTCCTCTCTTAAAATGCTTAGAGACGCCAAGCTTATTACATCTATTAACCTCATAATTTGACTTACACATTAAAAAGCTAGGTTTCTGTTACCAAGCAGTGATTTGCTAAGAATTATTCAATTCAGACTAAAAGGAAACTTTGCCTGATGATATTAACACTCAAAATAGTCACAGGACAAGAAACTTAGGCACAGTTGTCAATCACTTAAGGAAACCTTACTTACCAAGGAGAAGATTTCTGTCCTTGCACTTGGTTTTGCTGTTTAAGGGTAGTGAGCGACAAGACACAGGAGGTAGAGTAGGTGTCTGAATTTTCAATACATCAGAAGGCTAAGAGATAGAAAATGTTTTACTATTTTACTAAATTGGAGATCAGCTTTAGAAAACATTCAGTAATATAACAGTTTATTTCAACCCTAGTTTGAGAACTCTCCCCTTTCTGATTTCTTACCTGACTTTTGCCTACAGGTGAAGTGCAAAAGACTCTCAGTTTATATGTGGTTCCTGGTTGGAGGCCATTGTACAGAAATTCCTGGAGAGTGCCATTGTAGATTACCTTCCAGAGATTTGCTGCAGGAAGAAGAGCAAATTGGCTCAATTTGTTCATAGGTCACTTCTAACTTTCAAGTCCCCATAATTAATATATGCATGATATATGCTAAGGAACAACCATCTTAGAACATATGTGGTTCCAATAATCTTTTTGTGGGGGAGTTTTCAAAACAGGGTTTCTTCTGGAACTCACTCTGTAGATGAGGCTGGTCTCCAACTCACAGAGCTCTGCCTGCCTCTCCCTCCTGAGTGCTGGGATTACCATGTGTGCCACTACTACCTAGAGAAATGCAGTATTCTTTTTATAATAAATTATCCTGTTCCCAGTTGAATTAAACAAAAGTATAAGGGATCAGTAAGTAACGATTTCTTGTCAAAACTCAGAGGACTCCAATTACATTCTGTGGTTTGGCTTTACAGCTGTGTATTTCTATTGGTTTCTTGTTCTTTCAATTGTACTATGGCTACATAACACACTACTATTAGGTGAATCTAAGTCAACGTTTTTCTAGGGAACTCTGTACTATTTTTTCATAGCTTGTAGATGAGTGTAAAATTATTTCAAAATAAAATCTTTTAAAATTTGTATTGCCTTACCACCATCTGAATTTTCACTGACTTCTAAACTGTAACTTGAAATGTGCATCCCACCATTGTGTCTGGGGGAGTCTAAAAAGAAAAACATATTGTAAGTAATTCTAGAAAAAGCTTGCAAGTCTTTCACTAAAATTTTATCTCATAAATTGGAACTTCTCAAAGAGAAAAATAAAAACATGTCTCATTGTTGTATTTAAATCTGTATACTAGTAACAATCTACAAACCTAGTACAAGTTACATACATTTGATATCACTCATAAAATATTTAGATGGTATTTCAAAGTTCTTAGTAAGGAACTAAAATGACAAGAATATGGGAATAACTTTAATTTATGTAGCTGAGGCCATAAATGTGCTTCAATATAACTTTTGGTTAAGCTGATATTTATCTGTGACACAGAATTCTTTCTATGGTAACTATGTTGTCTAAAATTTTACTTGGAAGATGGTTATTTAAGGATCCATATGAAGTTCAAAAGTTGGTTCATATGTGAATAATTAAGCTAGCTATAGGAAATTCAATAGCAAATTAAGAAAAAAATAATAGGGTTATATAAATTTATTTATACGGCAGAATATTTCACAAGCAAATGAGAACATTTTATTAAGCTTAGAGCAATTGCAGAAAGATTTCTTTTCAACAGTTATTATGGGGAGAACAAATTTTAGACATAGACGAATTATTTACCCCATCCAATTTTTACTTGGCGTGCTTGAATTTCTCCTACTACATATGGTTTCTTTGGGTATCTAGGCTTGGATGGACGAGTAGAATATTTTACTTCTCTGCTGGGGTTGCTTCTTCCTTCTAGATTGCAGGCAAAAATCTGTTTGTGTAAAAGAAAATATTTTGTTGGACATTGGAAATAAATGTCTGCTTTGATAGTGTGTAATGTGCAGCTGGGTGAGCATTTCCAAGAATTAAATGTAAAGCAAAGTTCCATTTCAAAGAAAAAAAAACAAGCATTTATTCCAGCGAAGAGTTTCATCTTATATGAAAACGCACCACCAATTATTATATTATTACACATACCCGAAACTTGTATGTAGTATTTCTCTGAAGATGTCTTACAATGCAGGAGAGATTTTCTCCATTGTATTTAGGTTTAAAACGGAATCCCTGAAAATGGAGGACAGGGAATTTAGGAACGAAACTTAGGTTCCAGCTCTAGCTTCAACTTACTGTCTAGCTTAATGATCTTGAGAAAGTACCTTAGACTTTCTGAACCCCAAAGGGTCTGCACCAGTTCCTCTGCATATATGTTATAGCTGTTAGCTTGATGCTTTCTTGGGACTCCTAATAGTGGGAATGGGTGTATCTCTGAGTCTTTTGCCTGTGTTTGAGAGTTTTCCCCTCCTATTGGGTTGCCTTGTCCAGCTCTGATATGAGGGCTTTTGCCTTGTCATATATCTTGTTTGACTGTGTTCGCTTGTTGTCTCTTGGAGGCCTGCTCATTTTTGAAGGGAAACGAAGGAGTAGCAGATCTGGGAGGTGTGTGTGTGTGTGTGTGTGTGTGTGTGTGTGTGTGTGTGTGTTGCGGGTGAATCTAGGAGGAGTGGTGTTGTAAAGGGATGTATTGTGTGAGAGAAGTTAGTTTCAATAGACAATGGAGATAATTTTTAATTTTTAATGTTCCATTTTTCACAACATAGTGAGATAGCACATGTAAGTCGCCTATTGGTTACGACCCAGAACACGTCTCTTTGTTATCTCTTCCATTTAACATTTTGTGGCTTGTACATAGTAATTTGTGGCTGCTTTTTAAATTGACCGGCTCTTTGACACAGATTTGAAAGCTCCAAATGGAAGGAAATAGTTGCCCACCCACACGAGAAAACTGAGATGAAGGTAGACAGCTTGGCAGAATTGTGTAAAGGTGCTGAAAGATATCTGTGACCACAGAGAGTCAGCCAGAACAGGGCTGGAGCTGAAAATGCTAACTTACATCTTTGAATAGAACGAGCAGAGTGCAGAGATGCTGCTGCTGCCTTGAACTAGTTGAGGTTGAGCAACCTATGCAGACTTGCCCAACAGTTGCTCTGCATTGGGCCCATTCAGAACACAGCGACTCAAGGTTGTTCCCCCCTCCAAGTGAGAAGTGAGTATAAAAAGGTATTGAGAGATGAGGCTAAAGATCATAGCCCCCAAACAGGACACTTACAGATCTTGGTTCCTCCATCTCGAGTACATAAGTAAGAGTTTCATTTGGGTTTGGGTTTGTTGGGGCACACCATTCTAGCCACAAACGATAGACTCCTGCTTCTTTCAACTTAGGAGGCAGCGGTGCCGGAGGTGTGTTTCCTGATGTGTAGAAGACGGCTATTTCACTGTAATTACTAAAAGGATATGTTAAAGTGGAAACACCAGTTTCAGGATCTCATGGCACTATAGACTTTTCAATAGTGAAAATAATTCAGTGTACCTGGAGCCGAAGTGATTTCTAGCAGCTAATCTGAACGAATACTTTGTAGAAGCGGTCAGTTTAAAGATCTTGTGCTGTGTCATGGGACCACTGTAGCAACTCTTGAACTCTTCACCTTTACCCTGGACAATGCACACAAAATATTAGAATATTTTAAAATAGTGCACTTAATAGCACATACTCGTCATAACCTTAATCATTCACAATGAGGTGAATGATTTTCCATGATCTCTGTGCAAGAGGTTTAAGCGCGATGGGGTCCCTGCACTGAGAGGGGAAAATGGACACAAGCTCTCATCCTTTATCTGGAAGTTATCTCCAGTTGAAAAGCACTTGCAAAGGAAAAATTCATTTTCTCCCATGGAGTCTCACTGGGTATCCAAACCGCACTTAAGGGTAGGATCCATTCCGAACAGTAGTTGACCAATGCAAAATGAACTCAAATAGTATTTTTTTTTAAGATTTTTTTTAGTGACTCATAATGCTTTATCTGGGCATTTAAAAATATCTATAAGTCTTTTCCTTAGATATTATGGTATTTGATTCTTATGAGATTTCTTGGTGTGCAAACATGGGTCTCTATGTCTATATGTGTTTATATGCTTTTTCTCTGGCTCTTTTTTTCTGTTCATGTTTCTTTTGTCCTATTCACGTTTCCTTGTTTTTATATAGCTTATTATTATTTTCTTCTTTTTTTTCCTATTCACGTTTCCTTGTTTTTATATAGCTTATTATTATTTTCTTCTTTCTTGTTTTAGATGCCTATTTTCTAAGGAGAATGACAAAGTCTGTGGATTTGAATGGGGGATGCACAGGGGACCTGGAGTTGAGGGAGGGTAAACTGTAATCTGCATATATTATATGAAAAGTTATTTTAATAAAAATAAAATCAAAATAAATATGCATACCTCATCCCATTCCAAAAGAAAGCTGCTTATTTTGGATCCATTGTCTTTGGAACCCTGTAAAGATCAGAATGATAAAATTATGTTGGGTTATTTTTACATAATAAATATTTAAATGTGTTGCATATTATATACATATGTGTATGTATTTAAGGTGGTATAAATTACTTTAAAATTTTTGTATTTTTATGACAATTCAGATTTAAGGTTAAAGCACATGTTTTACAGTCTACAAGACACACAGTGATTCTGTACTTTGTATTTTTAGACTACACAAAAGGAAAGAAATTAAAAGTGATACCTAAGAAAATGGAGAGATATATTTATTGGTAATTGTGATGACTAATACCAAAATTTAAGTGCTGGAAAGAGCAGTTCACTTTTTATTAATTACCTAAGTTCTATTGACATTTCTCAATTCACTTGGCAGGACTTCTCAGAGTGAAGAGAAAGAGTATTGTGAAGAGAAGCATTAGAGAAGTAAGTTTGATTAAGCATGCATAATCCATCTTTAAAATTCAAGATATCAAAGAGTGTTTTAAAGTCACACTGAGATACTTTTGTCAGTAAAATCCTTACTTTCCACTGCAGGTTCAGGCTGTTCATGGTTCTGCTAATTAGTTTGGGTGCAAATGGAGGGTCTGGTTCACAGCCACGAGTTGTGAAACTCACCACTTCAGACACATTTCTGTGCCCTGCGTCTCTTATGGTTGTAACTCTGAAAGGGTAACAGCAATTGTCATAAGCTTTCAAGTACTGAGTCGCAGGATTGTGTTTCTAGACACAGGTTTTGTTGCTCTGTTGTTAGCATATACTGTTTATACATTGTAACGGCTCACATTATGACATTTTCATAGAAGATCATACCCCCTCTTTTCCCATTATGCTCTTTTGCTCCCTTCTTATTCCCAATAGTCTGCCACTCTTTACCTGCATGGCCTTTCTTTTCTGGGTAACCTAATGAGTTAAACTAGGGTTGCTTACATGCCTATGGAGATAGGGTTGTTTGAAGGTGGAAGGAAAGGGCATTTTGCTCATAAATAAACAGGCTGACTTCAGAAATTCTCAGTACTAAAACTCTCATAGGTTAAGGAGTCTTGGTTGGCTTGCAGTCTGGTGGCAGGTTGTGTAGGACAGACTTCTTACCTTAAAAAGTAGACTGTGCAGGGCTGGAGATCATGTAGGGCCACAGTACCCTCATTACCACTGTGAAGATAATCTTTGTTTACATGGGATCTCATATATATTTAATAGCTAATAAGCATTCCTAGTCTCGTAATACCTGAATAACTGATAAAGACCCACAGTTTTCCTTGAAGTTCGGATAACTTTAAACCAATTTATATGTGTGCAAAACATTACTAGTAGGCTCCAGCTTGCATTGAGGAGCAGCAGCGCCTCACCAAGCAAACCAAATTAATGAGGGATATGATCTGGGAGGTGAGTGGTTGTCACAAGCTGGAGGACACACCACAGAACAGCTCTAAATTTCTATGTCAGGCGCTCAAGTTCAGAGACCGGGATGCCCAGGGCTAGAGATGCTGAGAAAGGCACTGCTTGCCATCAGGAAAGAGGCCACTAAGAAGTACTGTGTTTGTCCTGTCATTTACATCAATAAATCTTTATACCACACACCAAGAATCATAACAGTAATTCAAATCAGTCAATTTGCATTTTAGTGCCACATCCATTTAACAAAAATAGTATAGATTTTCTTTTGATTAGCCCATTTAAAAGAGTGTAGACATCAAAACTTCAAAGAACACCATGTCTCAAGTAATTCATTCAATCAGTTTCAGAAGGATGTTTCTGTGGTGGAACCCTAGCTGGCCACACAAGCAGAGGGATTATAGTCCCCAACCTATGTCTTCTTGAGCAAAACCTTAAAAACACCTAAGTGTATTTCACCACACTAAGGAATTCCTAAACAGACCCTTCTAAAGATTGAAGGGATTGATACTTTTAAGCAAAGCCTACTTAAAAGCCTTTAAGTGTGATCAGAAATGTAAGAAAACAGGCAACGTCATCCTCTTTCCCTGCCTTTTCCTCCAAACATTGAAAGCTAAGTTCTTTTTTCTGTTTTTGTTTTTAGTTTATTTCTGTTTTTACTGAGCTAATTATTTTTCTCTGCTCCCCTCACCCTTCTACTCTTTCCTATGATCCCCGTGCTCCCAGATTACCCAGGAGATCTTGTCTTTTTCTACTTTATGTATAGATCCATGTATGTGTCTCTTAGGGTCCTCTTTGCTGTCTAGGTTCTTTGGAGTTGTGAATTGTAGGCAATTTTTTGTTTCCTTTATGTCTAAAGCAAATTATGAGTGAGTACATATTATATTTGTCTCTCTGGGTCTGGGTTTCCTCACTCAATACGATGTTTTTTTTTTTTAGCTTTATCCATTTGCCTACAAATTTCAATATGTCATTATTTTTTTCTGCTGTGTAGTATTCCATGTGTAAATGTACCATATTTTCTTTATTCATTTTTTTGGTTGAGGGACATTTACATTGTTTCCAGGTTCTGTTTACTACAAGTAATGCTGCTATGAACACAGTTGAGCTTGTGTCCCTGTCTGTGGTATGAATTCCCAAAAGCGGTATTGCTGGGTCTTGAGGTAAGTTGTTTTCTGATTTTCTAAGAAATCGTCTTGCGGATTTCCAAAATGGCTGAACCAGTTTGCACTCCCACCAGCAATGGAGGAGTGTTTTCTTTGCCCCATGTCCTCTCCAAATATAAGCTATCATTGGTGTTTTTGATCTTGGCCATTCTGATAGGTTTAAGATGGAATTGCAGAGTTGTTTTGATTTGAATTTCTTTGCTGACTAAGGATGTTGACCATTTCCTTAAGTGTCTTTCAGCCTTTTATATTTGTTTGTTGAGAGTTCTCTGTTTATGTCTGTATCCCATTTTTTTTAATTGGATTTTTTGTTCTTTTGATGACCAGTTTCTTGAGTTCTTTGTATATTTTGGAGATCAGTCTTCTCTCTGATTTGGAGTTGTTAAAGATCTTTTCTTTTTTGTAGGCTGTCAGTTTGACTTGTAGAATGTGTCTTTTGCTTTACAGAAGCTTTTCAGGTCCAGGAGGTCTCATTTATTAATTGTTGTTTTCAGTGTTTGTACTACTGGGCTTATATTATTTAGGAAGTGGTCTCCTGTGCATTCAAGTATACTTCCCACTTTCTTTTCTATGAGGTTCAGTGTGGTTAGTTTTATCTTGAGGTCTTTGAACCATTTGAACTTGAGTTTTGTGCATGGTGATAGATATGAATCTCTTTTCATTCTTCTATATGTTGATATCTGCTTATGCCACCACCTTTTGTTGGATATGCTTTCTTTTTTCCAGTTTATATTTTTTGCTTTTTTGTCAAAAATCAGATGTTTATAGGTGTGTGGATTTATATCCGGGTCTTCAATTCAATTCCATTGTTCCTCCTGTCTGTTTTTATGCCAACACCAAGCTGTTTTCATTACTGTAACTCTGTATTAGAGCTTGAAGTCAGGGATTGTGATGTCTCCAGAAGTTCCTTTATTGTACAGGATTGTTTTGGCTATCCTGGGTTTTTTGCTTTTTCAAATGAATTTGAGTATTATTCTTTTGAATTCTGTGAAGAATTTTGCTGGGAATCCTATTGAATCTATAGATTGCTTTTGGTAAGATTGACATTTTTATGGTGTTATTTCTACCTACCCAAGAGCATGAGAGCTCTTTACATTTTCTGATGTCTTCAATTTCTTTCTTCAAAGATTTCAAGTTAATGTCATGCATTTTTTTCACTTGTTTGGTTAGAGTTACTCTGAGATATTTTATGTTATTTGTGGCTATTGTAAAGGGTAATGTTTCTCTGATTTCTCAGTCCATTTATTATCAGTTTAAAGGATGGCTACTGGATTTTTGAGTTCATCTTTCATCCTGCTTCATTACTGAAGGTGTTTATGAGTTGTATGAGTTCCTTGGTAAAAGTTTTGGGTTCACTTATGTAAACTATCATATCATCAACAAATAGTGAGCGTTTGACTTCTTTGTTTCTGATTTGTTTCCCCTCGGTCTCCTTTTGTTGTCTTATTCTTTAGGTAGAACCTTAAGTACTATATTGAATAGATATGGAGAGAGTGGACAACCTTGTATTGTTCTCAATTTCAGTGGTATTGCTTTGAGTTTCTGTCTGTTTAGTGGTGCGTGATTCTCCTCTATATGTTGTGTATATGTTTTATACTATTGGTTAATAAAAAAATCAGCTTTGGGCCTATTGTAGTGCAGAATAAAGCAAGGTGGGAATAGAAGAGAAAAGAAGGCAGAGTCAGAGAGATGCCATGTAGGTGCTGAAGGAGGCAGAGTCCCTGGAACCTTACCAGTAAACCATGAGCCTCGTGTTAAAATATAAAATAATTGAAATGGGTTAATTTAAGATATAAGAGCTAGCTGGCAACACACCTAAGTGATTCACCAAGCAGTGTTAATTAATAGAGTTTCTGTGTTATTATTTCGGGTCTGGGTGACTGGGAATGAACGAGCATCTTACACCTATAAAATGGTGCCCAATGTGGGACACAAATTCATGACCCTGAGAGTAAGAGTTTCATGTTTTATAAATATGTAGGCAGCCTTGCCCCCAAACCTCCTATCCCCTTCAACCTCAGAGAAACTCTTTGAAATATAGCCTTCTATTATACAGAGAGGACCAAGAAGTGAGTGACCAGCCACCTGGTCGTACACCTCACTCTCTAGGCCCTCCCTACCAGGGCAAAATCCTGGGCCTCTCCCTTACCTGTTTTGGCTTCTCTAGCCAGCCAGCAGGAGAATTTCCTACAGGTAGGCTGCTCTATTATACCCCCACACCAGCTATCAAACTCTGCAACTTACAAATCCCGCCCTGCCCACAAGTCCTCCTATCCCTTTGAAACCTCAGTGGAACTCTGAAACACTGCCTGCTACTACACAGTGCGGTCCAAGAGGTGAGTGATCAGACATCCAGCAGGACACCCCACTCACTAGGCCTTCCATACCTGGACAAAACCCCAGACCCCACCTTTCTCAGCTTCTATAACCAGCCAGTAGGTGAGTGTCCTGCAGATAGGTGGCTCAAAAACCTCTGAGACACAGACAGTGACAGTACAGAACAGACTAAGAACAGTTCCCAAGACAAAGATCGGCACTTCAAGGATTGGACTAAGATGCAAAGATACTGCTGGCATCAATTGAAGGAAGAGATGGGTAGGTGCCAATGCAAGAGTTAATCCAACAACCTAAAAAGCAGCATGATGACACCAGAACCCAGTGGTCATACATCAGGAAGACTTGATCATCCTAACCCAGAAGAAGCAGAAGAATAAGATTTTAAACATAACTTTATGAAGATGTTGGAGACTGTTAAAGAGGAAATGAAAAACTCCCTTCAAAAATGGTGGAAAAGATAAACAAAAAGTAGAAGAAATTAATAAGTCTCTCAAAGCAAAAAGAATCGAACAAGTGAAGCAAACAGTTCAAGTCTTGAAGTCTGAAATAGTGGCAATAAATAAACCAAAGGAATTCTGAATATGAAAAATCTGGGTAAATAAATGGGAACTATAGAGGCAAGTATAATGAACAGAATACAAGAGATAGAAGACTCTCAGGTGTTGAAAATACTATAGAAGAAATTGATTCAGTGGTCAAATAAAACATTAAATTTAACAAATTTTTAACACAATACATCCAGGAAATCTGGGACATTATGAAAAGATCAAACCCAAGAATAATAGGGACAGAAGGAGAAGAACTCCAGTCAAAGGCACGGAAAATATATTCAACAAAGTCATAGAAGAAAACTTTCCCAACCTAAGGAAGGATATTCCTATGAAAGTACCAGAAGCTTACAGAACAGCAAATAGCCTGAATCAAAAAAAAATCCCTCGCCATATAATAAAACATAAAACATATAAAATAAAGAAATAATATTAAGAGCTGCATAAGAAAAAAGGTCAAATAACATATAAGGTAGACCTATGAGAATTATACCCAACTTCTCAATGGAAGCTATAAACTTCAGAAAGTCCTGGGCAGATGTGCTGCAGACACTAAGAGACCACAGATGCAAGCCAGACTACTTAGTAATACCCAGCAAAACTTTCAATCATCATCAATGGAGAAAACAAAATATTCCATGGCAAAACCAGATTTAAACAATATCCTTCTACAGATCCAGCTCTACAGAAAGTACTAGAAGGAAAA